CAGTTGCCCAGGGAAACCAATCAGCCTCCCTTCAGTTTATTCAGTTAAGGTTTGAAAATGAAAGGTGGATGCTGATTGGTTGCCATGCACAGCTGCTCCAGTTTTGTTAAATTCCCCTCAATATATTTTCTATATACTTTTAAGACAAAGTTAAACAAAAATCCAGCTTGGGGATGGTTTTTAAAACTGTTACAGTAGATGAGATGACATTTTATTCTGATATTTGTCCTTTTTTATGACCCTACACTTTTGTATCGGGCACAAAGAATGACACAATACCGGTTTTCTTTTTTACCACTTCAGGGGCTGCATTTGAGGCCCCCTTATTGAGTACATTTACAACTAGTGATCTAGATGCATGCAGTTTGCACTGTGACTCCTCCTGGGAATATGAATACCTCTGCGACAGATCATCTGAACACACGAGACATGAATTTTGCACAATAAGTCAAAGCACTTCGATCATCCATGCAAAGGCACTTTATTTTTTTACAAGAACAGGATGCAATGGATCAGTGGCACAGCACTGTATACACATTAGGATCACACAACACACAATATACAACTTTCAGGAAGCTGCATGGAGTATACAGCACAGTGTCGCACTTGAAACGTGTTGGTCACAGATACAATGTAGGGTTTAAAAAGAAATGTACTTGAGATAGATACATTAGAGGCAGTTTTACACAATAAGGTATTTAACAGCTTGTCTTTGTTCCTGTCATCACAATGCCATTCACCCTCCTGTTCATCATTACAGAAGCCTGTCACAGCAAAGACTCCCATCCAGTGCTGTGGCTGCACCTGTCCTGCTCCAAAAAGCAGTTCCAAGTCTGTGTGTGATCTTCTCTGAACCGAAGGCTGGGCACACACCTTACAACCACCGCCGACCAGACTTTTGTCTTGCGAGGGTTGTTAGGTAATTTTAAAAAACGTACGATCTGCCCATTAGGATGCACAGCTGAGCTGTCACAAGCAACATGTGTCATGACAGGTTCCCTTTAAAGAGAACTAGTAAAATCCCTATAAAGTTGTTTTTATTTTATTTTGCTGTTTGTGTCCCGCTGGGGAGATTTCTTCACTTCCTGTCCTGGAGACACAACAGGAAATAAGTATAAATCACTAGTGAATGGAATTCCCACGTTAAAGAGTTGCCATAGGAGTAGGCGTTCCCACTGGAGAATTTTAGCTTCAATGAATCGCCACACTCCATTTAATAGTCCAGATTGATCTTCACTCAATGTAGGGTGGAGGGGACAGTATAGAAGTAGCCAACGCGTTTCAGGAGCTCCTGAAATACCCTCTTCATCAGGGCTCACCACATGTATCAGGACTGCGATGGCTTGAAATGAAATGCCATTTTGGCCAGTGTAAGAATGCATAGAGCTCCTCAGCAGCTGACTTCTGGATTTTCCATCCAGGACCAATAAAGAGGCAGAATCTCCGTAGTGGGGACACAACCAAATAAAACTCCCTATTCAAAGTGAAAACAATGCCTTTACATAGACTTTAACATAAAACCATGTCTACAGGTTCCTGCTCTCATCTTTAAAAGGCAGAGAAGTCTCGTTTTAGTTTAGAGGTGCACGACCTAATAGCCAAGTCCTGCCTTCTACCACCATTGTCCAGTAAGAAACAAACTAAATCAGAGAGGAGCACAGAAGAGGCCTTTCTGGCTAATAAAGGTAAATGGCATACATTTGGTGTCCATGTGTACAGTACAAGGTTTCTTGAACAAATCTACACTCTTGTAATAGGTTGAACAGTATCGGACACAGCACAGATCCTTGAGGCTTGTAAAGCTTGTGATAAGCTCTAAGCATTCTTGCGAAGGTCTTAGTTTCTAAATGTTAAAAACAGATCTTAATAGGAGCGCTATCACTTTAAACAAGTCCGGCAAGTAGTGCTGAAGCTTAGCGAAGCCTGCCAGCAGCTGGTCTGAAGTGACAGTCAGGACTCCCACTAAGAACTGTCTAACATTCCCCAATCGGAGCTGGAGGGTGCTTTAAAGCTTTGCAAATGCTTTCCAAACCCTTGCTGTACACAATGCTCCCGTGCAAGCACACGGCACAACTGCAAGGGAGAGCAGGGCCACCTGAAGGACAATTCTGGCTTGTTCATTTTTACATCTGTTACAATAGAAACAGAATTTTTATCAAAGTCCAATAATAAAATATTCCAACATGTTCGCTAGCACTTTGCACAGAATGGAGTCCATTTCAGTCCCTACTAGAATATGTTATGGATCCGGAAGGCTTCAATATAAAACACAGGGACCACATACAGCCCTGGTGAGAATGATGCTAGTGGAGAACATGCTGCAATACTGTTGATGTGAGTGTATGAGAATGGGTCAGCTTTTCCTGAAGGTTGAGGCTTTGGAAACTCCTGGAAATCAGTTTCTTAAAGTACACCTGCCATTAACTCTTTTACGGCATGACCAATTTTCTTATTTTCTACACAAAAACTAAAATGTACTGAGGCCTCTTCACACCGATGCAATCTTACATGCATGTTCATGTGTAGTATATTGCATGTTCATGTGTGATGTGTTAAAGGATAACTAAACCCAGAACAAACATGTCATTTAATGCAGCTTACATGTCCTTGGATGTGGAGACAGAAGTGTTTGAAGTCCGGCCTGTATGACAACTATGGCTGCCACCAGATACAGTGGAGAAATGAGTGTAGCCACCCAGGGACAGGAAGTGTGTTATGTGAAGGTGAAAATGAATGAATATATAAACTATTTGTTTATTAGGTTTAGATTTATATTCTGGCATTCCACCAATTCTGAATGAACTACCAATCTATCCCAATGCACATATAACAGGACATGCAGCACTTGTTCAATGCACAGATGGTTTATGCATTGCACTGACAAGGTCAATGGGGTAGCCCCACGGCAAGGGAGTTCTTTAAATTACAAAATATATCTAGCCTGGAGAGCTGTGCCAGCACGTACAAGGGATTGGGTCTTTATACATCTCAAACGTTACTAAAATAAGAAAAGTCTTGAAAATCTGAAACTTGTGTACAGCCCCAATGTGATTAGCAGTAATGGCTCTGGCATTAAAAGGGTTAAAAGGTACACCATGCATTTTACTGCTGACTTTCCAAGTCAATGATTTGAAACAAGTGTGCAGACTGGAATTTCAGATCCAGGTCCATGACTCATGTTATTGATGGAAGAGGGTCACTGCGACCGCCAGGTAATTCGCATTTTCAGACGGTCAGCAGTGGCTGCCCATTTCTCACACGACAGCTTTTTATTTGAAGCTAGAGCTCCCGCTCCAACATTGGATAGCCACTAATAACAGCACTGTAACATCTGATTGGTGGGGCAGGGGGACATAGGTCCACCCACGAGGAGAATTCCCACTTTCCTGCTAAAAGGAACTACTTATGTACGATGGACTAAGGTAACGGAGTTTTGTGTTCCTGGTTCATGCCGAGGAAGAGCTGCTACATCCAGAGGCTAACAGTCAATATTTCCTTTCTAGACACCATAGGAGGTTGGTTTGTATCATAGCTACGAGATTATTGAAAAACTGCAACTCTTTCCATTGTACATCCGACTCGCACTTAGTGGAGGTCTCCCACAGAGCTTCTCTCGTTACCGTTACACTTCTAATGTCTCTCACCTGTCACCCATTCCTGGAAAATGTACCAGCCAGTTAATGATTTGCGTGGTGTGTGAGAAGAGAGCCGTGCTGGAACTTCACTTTCCTGTCTTATCTGTAAATGGTAGAATGCTGAATTCCATGGCATGGGTACCTGCTGGGGCCAAAAGAGGCACACAGACATGTGTCTTCTGCTGCCCCACTTCCCCCTCCTGGGTATCTAGAGCCCTATTAGCAGGGCATTCGTCTACCATCCAGATACTTCTAGAGGCGGAGCTTGTAAGGTCACTTGCCAACTGTATATCATCCATATATTCCTATGGACAATCCTCACTATGGTGTGTGATTATTTGTGTCATGCCCTCCTGCATGGAGGAATACCCCAGCTCCACCTATTAAAGCTGTGCTGCTGGTGGGAAGAGATCCCAACACAAAAAGAAAAAATAGAATCTCAGACCTTCCAACCAAAAGAGATTGAAGTCGGGCAAATCTTTTAACGGTTCATCTCCCAAGACCAGAGTTGCAATTTTACAGTTCCCCTGCAGCGCTACCTGCTGGTCCAATTCAGTAGTGCACCACCATCATACACCACTGCTTATCATTAGTCAGTCTTCAGCAGGCCAAGGGCTGTAGTAACAGCAGGGCAGGGGCCAACATATCCGGAAAAAGAAACCAGGGGATTCATTTTTACCTGTTGGCGGCTCCCTATGGATGGACGGGTGGCTTGCTCAGGAGAGTTGGCTCAGTGAACAAAATGGCTGCTCTGGAAGCTCTAATACACATACAGGCAGAGGCCTATGATGCCAGCCTGCAGCAGCTGTGGGCCACTCTGCAGCACCATACACTGAATAAATAAAACTTTATATATATATTTACAGTAACATAAGAATGAGATAACATATAATAAAACAACACAACTCCCTCACATACCAAAAAATATTCCCACTTTGGCTCTCCATACAAAGCAACTAGGATATAGGTAAAGTACTGCGCTGGGTAATATTGGCCAGCAACTATTCACATTTTTCCTCTCAAGGTTAGAAAGTAACAGCATGAATTTGATTGGCTGCTTTCGGCGATGTAATGCCCTTTAGGGGCACACCTCCTGTGTTCATTATGAGAGGCTCCCACCGTTCCTGCCGTATTTTTATTTTATATTATGTAAGGAGGAGCTTTTACACACAAAGGTGGGCAAAAACAAATAAAACTACCCCGAGGACAGGAACAGAGGCTTGGAAATATGGCAGGGAGTCTCCAAGATCATACAAGAAGAAAGGGTCTGACTTGTGGGAGGTCTGACCCTTTACGTCACACACAAAAGACTCAGCAGAAGTGCGAGAAATGTGCATCTCAGCAATACAGCAGATGTCCACTGGGGGCAAGTAATGATGGGATTGGTGGTTGTACACAGTACTGGTCTATATCATCTATAATTCACACAGTAAGCAGGAAATATCACAGATTAATACTCAGCAGCTCCAAATTTCTCCTTCATGGCTTTCACATCCAGCAGCCGTGACTACCTCAGCCTCCCCTCAGTCTTCTCTTAGGTGCTGTGGTAGATCCGGATGCGCTGGGCAATATTGCTTCGGCACAGTGGGCAGGCCTGCAGGGCATCTCCGCAGCTGGAGCAGCAACAAACGTGCCCGCAGGGAATGAATATCGACTGAGCCTGAAATATGAACATCATTCATAGCATTACAAACGATGCATTGCACTCAGGGAACAATTGTGCGGGAATGGTGCGTGTAATCTTTCGCCCCATGTGCTCCAAGATGGAGACTCTCATAGTTTAGAGTAAGGACCCCACTATATGGAGGTGCCTTGACGTGGCTGTGCGGCTTTCACATTTTCTGCAGAAGACCTGTATCTAAACCTCTGCTTTTAACCTTAGTGGTTAGACAAGTTTTTTTTACATGCTGGCTGGTGAGTGTGCTGGAAACTTTTTGCTGTTTTGGTGCTTGTACAAGTCACGGATTCATTTGGGCTCATTTCAAATCCAACTCCTTTCATATCTTTTTTTTTTATTATTTGGATAAAGTAGGGAAGGGTCAAAAGAGTCAGTTTAATGTTTTGAAATATTGGCTTACCAGCATCGAGTTAAAGAATTTAAATTTGATATGATTTGGGGTAAATGGTTGGATCGGGGGCCCGTTAGGGGTACATATGTGTCGTGAATGTTTCATTAGGATCCCTTCCCTATACATATATCTTTCATTTTTGTTTTTTTCTCTCTCTTTTCGGTTCCATTGGTTGTAAAAAGCTATAGTAAAAATAAAAATGAAATGATCTAGGGGAGTGGGGACGAGGGAGAGGGGAGAGAGTGGAAGAGGTGAGGGGTGGTGCGATTTTGTTGACCACTTGCGATTTGTGGTACTTACATTATGAACACTTATGGATGTAAATGTTACACAGAGAATTTTTGAATTTGTATTACTTTTATGGATTATCTCCTTGGGAAATGTATTTATGATTAAAATACGATTTAAAATGATTTGTTTTTTAGTGATGAATTAGTTCACTTCATCATGTATTTTTGGCCTGGGCGTATGTTATTAATAATGATGTATTCCTAGGAGGATGGTTACTCACTGATGTGTAGCCGTATTTTCTCAGTGATTAGCACTTTGTACGGTTATAAATGACATTTATTTGTTATATATTTATAGCTTTATGATCCACTAATTGTTGATGAATTGTTGATGACATATATATATATATATATATAATGATTGCATTGTCATTCTCCCTTTCCTCTCCTTTTTATAATTGTTTTGTGTGTGTTTTGTCATGGTTGTGTGGATTTTAATGGGTAGTTTTGGTTATCCTATGTTGTGTTTTTTTTTTACATATGATTGTTTGTAAATAAAAAAAAGAGCTTAATAAAGTTTATTTGATTTAAAAAAAAAAACTGCAGTCAGGTTTTGAAAGCTCCCTAATTGTAATTCTTCTGTGAGATTGTAAATGTTGTCTGTGCACCTGTTCTTGAGATTTCCCCTCACTTCCTGTTTTGTCCAACAACTGTCTTCTGAACAGGAAGCAAGGATAAATCTCCCTAATGAGGACACTGATGAGAATAAAATCCTGACAGAGGTTTTAAACCCTGTATGTTGTTGGTGTCCCCATTGTTGGGGTTTTCTCTCATTTCCTGTTCTATTTGAGGAAAGAACACGGACATAAATAACCCTTCCCTATTCCATTCAAAACGAATTAAAAGGTTTTGCTGGAGTTGGGTTTTAATATAACAAAGTGCAACACGTGATATGCAGTAAACTCAGATCAACCCATCACAGTTGTTCTTTCTCTGATGTCAGAATACTGAGATCTGATTGGCTGAGAGGGATTTGTGCACTGAGCATTAGTATCGGTTTAGGTCACATTCACACCTCTGCATAAAAATGAAGCATTTTCAAAGCCTAGCCATCTCTGCTATTAAAGCGGACCTGTAGTCAACAGAACACAGTACAGCTCTCTTTACCACATTACCTCTTCACAAAAGAAAAAAAAAGCAAGTAGTTACGTGAAAAAGACAACGTGACTAAATCCTAAGACGTGATCACATGACTGGGAGCCGTGGAAGCCCACCACCACTTTCCTCAGAAAAGGCAATCTGCCGCCCCTATTATGTGTTTAAGACAGAACTCCAGGAACTTCCTAGCCTTGGAGTGGGGCTATCCCTGCACTGTAAGGGTTAACTGCTTCTTTGTCTAGGCGGCTCAAATAAAGCAGATATACTCACCCACCTGAGCCTCGGTCCCGCTATAGAATGTCCCTCAGCATCCTCATGTCTCATGCAAGTCAATATGACGCCAGCGGTTCTTAGACCGCCGGAGCCCAAGGAAGAAAATGTTCATTAGAGCTAATGGCAGACATGACTATAGTACACCAAAGACTCTATACCATGCAGAAGCAGCTTTTCAATTTATTCTGCGAGCTGAGTATTTTTTTTATAGTTTAAATGCAATTGTGTGCATATGTGCCTGGCAGCTAGCGCTATGGGGATGCCATAAAGTGTTTGTTTTCATAGAAAAGAATTTTATTTGGAACTAGGTTGCAGTGGAGCTATGCTATTTGTCTTGTTTAGGTACACACAGTAAGTAGTGGAGTTCGCCTTTGAAAAGCACCTGTACTCTAACATACAACAATGCTGTACAGGAGAGTAGGGATAGTATATGGCGTGCTTCCTCCTTCCAAGGACTCCGACAAAAAAAACAAAAAAACGGTGGAGCACTATGCAGGTCAGTATCAGCGAATGGGAGGTGGGCTTCCAAGAGGACCGATCACTTTTGCTCTACATGAGACATTTTCACAAACAGAAATTCTATGATTCTACTATTGCAATGATATCAGAACTGAATCCTGTCTCTTCAAGACCTACCTCTTGCTCCATGCAGACTACACACTCTGAGTTGCTGCTGGCCACATCAGGTAAAAGCTCAGTAGGTGCTGTTGGGCTTACTCCGCTGGCGGCTGGACTGCTAGGCTCTGGAGTAGGTGTCTTTTTCCCCACTTCTGCTATCATCAGAACACAGCTCGTATTAAAAAAGTATGATATACAAACAGGAGGTAAAGCAAATAAGCACTAAATGTATATATCAGAACAAAGTCAAGCAATTAGCAAACCTAAAATATGGATCCTCTTTAGAGTGAACCTTTTGTTTGCCTATAAAGCACAAAGTAAGAGGTACACACGGCCTTCCTCGCCACTCCATTCAGAGCGAATTTCCCAGCACTTATTTCTTTGGGTGAGCCGTGAGCCACTCCCCTTCTTTCACATAACAGTGCTAGGTGCCTCCTGGCTGGCTCAGCACTGTCACATGACGCTAAGGTATAAGTCCATAGCCCTGTCTAAGCCTTGACAAATAAGTTCAGAGCTTGCACAGGACTTGGTTTTTCTGGTTCCGGCTGCATTATGAAGGAGAGAAGGAAGGGGTATTAGAATCTGGCTGCAGGCATGCAAAGTAATGGCATGGCAGCCATGCACTGTCTATCCAGTGCATGAATGGCCCTGTTTACATCAGCAGCCATTGGGAGGTGACTGTATTGCTTAGCTGCAGCGGAGAGAAGTCGAGTCACCAATGTAGCTGTGCTGTTTGGCAGGTTCGTACATTTCTGGACTGGCAGGATGAAATTGCAAACTCTGTGGTAGGTAAAACTACTCCCATGTATTCATTTTTAGTGTTTATTAGCTGTTTGTCTGAAGTTTAGCTTCTTCAAGAAGTAGCACACTCAGTTTAGTGATGTCAGATCCACCGGAGAGTACACAAAGGTCTGAGCAATGACCAACTATCAAAGTGATCCACCAGAGCAACCATTTACAGCCAGGGTTCCTCCAAAGGTTGCGTGTGGTTCTCTGAGCTGCGACATTTTATACTGCTGGCATGGATCCAGGGCCAACACCACTTGGCACAGCCAGCTGCATGCCACCAATGATCTTTTTCGCTGTCTCTAAGGGTGGCATTCTAACCATCACTGTGGTTGGGGTGGGGGTGTTGGCTGAGTTGGCTGAGTTCACACAAAGGTCTGAGCAATGACAAACAATAAAAGTGAGTCACCCAGATGACAGATGGAATTTTATATCAAATGTATCTGGTAACAATGTTATGGTTTGCTCATATGCAACACAGACTTGCACTACAGACCCAGTTTGTCTATGATTACATTGCTTTATGTTTGCTGTAGAGAAGACATTACCCTTTCTGTGTCTGCGAATCTGCTGGGCTCGTTCAATGATGGAAATCTGCAGGCCAACTTCTTCCACTCCAATCTGCAATCAAAACAGAATCTAATTTTTTTGTGCACATTTTCT